TTGTAGAAACTGATCCAGCCTTGTATTTTTTGCATGCTAGAAACAAGTAATTTCCCTGTATATTAAAGCGGGCGTGGGCGGCGAGTTAACCTGAACAAGAAACGTGTCACCAAATATTTATGAATGGCTGGTGAGCAGTGACCTTTATTAATTCTATTCATTTTCCGAAGGTTTCCACGGCTGTTTACTATGCAGCTGGGGCTCATTCGTTCTCCAGATTATATAAACTCGGCTGTGTGAATTTTTTTCCCCATACAAAAAAAACCAAAATAAAAAATATAAATAAACGCAGCCTTTACAGTTCAATGCTTGGCTCATTTCCAGCTCAGAGGGGGCCCGATCCCACCGAAGTCCTGCTCGGGAACGAGGGGGCTACTTGCTTTGTGCCCCGAAAGTCAAACGCCCCCCAGGAACGGGCAAGCTGCGGGGCAGCCATTTCCAGCTCAGGACATTCTTGCCCCAGATGTCCAGACCGGACTAACGCGCAGCCCTTTCCAAACTTTGCAGGGAGAGAAGCATTTGTTCCATTTCTTCCAGCCCAGTCTTTGAAAAACAACAACTGCAGCTTGAAAAAACGGCCAATTGATTTCCTCTGGTCAGAATCGTGTAATAGCCACATTCTGCTGTAAACCGGTTCTATGGCAAAACTAGAACGTTCTGGCGCCGCCTGGAACGATGTAAGAGTCCCGATCCTAAGGTCCTTATACTGAGGAGTAATTTTCCAGGGAAGTGAATGCTCTGTCAAATAAATGGGGCAGATAATGCTCAAATCGCACCGACAATGGCCCGTATATTTGCTTGGAAATAAACCCCGAGGTTGTAAGTGGGACTTGTACTTCTAAAGTGTCTGATGCATAGCTGTCAACTTTCCCCCCCCTTTTTTAAAGGGAAATTCCCTTATTCCGAATAGGATTCCTCGCAAGAAAAGGGAAAAGTTGACAGCTATGGTCTGATGTCAGAGAACATACGCAATATCAAGTTAATAATACAGTAATTATAATTTATTATTTGTACCCCGCCCATGTGGCTGGGTCTCCCCAGACACTCTGGGCGGCTTCCAACAAAGATTAAAAATGTCACATATTAAAAACTTCCCTGAACTTCAGATGTCTTCTAAATGTCAGGTAATAATTTATCTCTTTGACATCTCTTGGGAGGGCGTTCCACAAGATGGTGCCGCTACGAGAAGGCCCTCTGCCTGGTTCCCTGTAGCTTTGCTTCTCGCAGCGAGGGAACCGCCAGAAGGCCCTCGGAGCTGGACCTCAGTGTCCGAGCTGAACTATGGGGATGGAGATGCTCCTTCAGGTATACTGGACCGAGGCCGTTTAGGGCTTTAAAGGTCAACACCAACACTTTGAATTGTGCTTGGAAACATACTGGGAGCCAATGTAGGTCTTTCAAGACCGGTGTTATATGGTCTCAGCTGCCGCCCCCCGTCACCAGTCTAGCTGCTGCATTCTGGATTAGTTGTAGTTTCTGGGTCACCTTCAAAGGTAGCCCCACGTAGAGCGCATTGCAGTAGTCCAAGCGGGAGATAACTAGAGAGAGCATGCACCCGGACAACTGAATCCCGGGTATGTTTATTCCGAATTTGGTGAGGTTCAGTCAAAGTTATTAGTCAAAATGCCTAGGCTTTTCCTGAACGTTGCGTTTACTTCTCTCGAGCGCACCCACCATCCTGGGTTTATTTATTATTTATTATTATTTTTAGCACCCTATAAAGTTGACGGTAGAATCGAAATGTAACTATGTTTGGTGGTGGTGATAAGCGAACTCCGAATACATGCTCCGCCGTGTACTGTGGCCTTTTAAAGACGACAGAGTACCTGCCCCGTTCCTCGGAAGTAAAACGCGCCTCCCCTGTGGGGTCAGGTTGCAGCGTAACATCCTGCGGGCTCTGCGCCCCACCGATTTCTCTGAGCCTGAGAGCGCGTCTCACGTTGCGCACGGGGTTCTGAGAGTTCTGTACGTTCATGAGACTTTAGTCAGTGGGGCTTGTTGCGGCCAAGGGTGTATTTAATTGTATAGCGCTCTCACCAGTGAAAGACCTCTTCTGAAAACGCTGATAGGTCCTTTCTCCCCATTCGAAGCGCGTCAGTTCCTTGGCTCGACTTGGGTCGACACCGCCGCTTCCTTAAGTGGCGTAGTGGTAAACTCTGGAGCGCAGAAGCTCTCTAACAAAAATGAACTTTTGACCAAGGCAGCTGCTATGGCTTCAGTAACCGCCCTGAGACCTTCCATTAGTCACGCAGCAAAGAAACTTGGGGATCGGGCGCAATAAACAGTGGCAGCGTATTAGCCAGGCGTGCGAAATGTAACCGGCCTCTTCCTCTGCTGAGCTAATTTGGTGGGTTTCTCCCTTAGGAAAGTTGATTGAACTGGCACGCGGACAGTTGGGCAACTGGTACCACGGAGTTGACGCCACCCTCCCCGGCTGCCCTGCCCAGCTCCCCCCCCCCCCGGGCCGTGTGCTTCTGAGGTTTCCTACATCCTCTAAATAATCGCCACACAACAATATCTCAATGAGATGTGAAGCAAGTCCAAAACGCCCTCGCTGCCGTTCGGAACAAGCCGTCGATTATGCCTGGAGGAGATCAGCTAGTGGAGGCAAAGATCGGGAGGGGATCTCGGGCGGATTCCTGCGCCCCTTCCCCTCGCCTCGGCTTGGTGGCAGCTCTTTCCCATCCATCCCTCAACGGAGGACCCCTGGGCTGACCAAATCTCTCTCTCTCCCCGCGACGTGATTGGGACCATATGTTTGGCGCATTCATCTCCTTTCAAGCTATTCTTCGGGGCGCTAACTGCGAACACGTTTTCGTCGCCTTGAAATTTCCTCCTCTCTCCTTCTGATTTTCTTCCCCCCAATTAAAAGCTTAACAGCCCTGGAAACGGAGTTCATGTGGTGAAGTTTACCGCGGGCCCCGCTTCTGAAAAGCTTTCTGCTGCGATCCCATTATGTGCTTGACTAAACCTTTTCTGCGCGCAGCAATGGGACTCCCTCTCGTCAGGTGTTGGGTTACAATAGACTCTCAGGCAGGGGACGTCGGAGCAACATAAATACGAACCTGGCCCTGTGGGGAGATGTTGTCAAATACGAGGGGCTGGGAGGGAGAGAGAGGGACCCCGACGCCATTCCCACACGAAGGGGACAGCGAGGCATCCAACGGCCCGAGGGCCGTGAGCTGGGCCCCAATGAAAGGGCGCCCCCCTCCCCGCGCCCCACTGCGTAACATGCCTTTGAAGCCCCCTCGGGAGCTAAGGTAGGGGAGAGGCCAGGCCGGCTCTCCAGGGGCCGCCAGATCGCCTCCCTCCCTCCCTCTCCCCCCCCCCCCGCGATGCAGCTCAGCAACGGCGTCGGGGGGCGCCTGTCTTGCCAGAAAGACCCGCCGCTTCCAACAGCAGCGCCATCGAAAGGAGCGCGGTGAGGGTCGCCAGCGCGCAAGATTTCATCTGGGTCGGGGCCAGAGAAATATCTTGCAGGGAGCCAGAGATGTGTTTCATTCATCCATCCATTCGCTCCGCCGTCCCCTGTCTCTCAGCCACACCGCTTCTCTTTATTACACTCGCAAGAAATATTTCTTTCTTTGCTAAATTGATTCCTTTCCCTTCTCGTCTTAAAGAAGCACGATATATAATGAGGAACTTTTGCTGCAGTATTGTATTTTGTTTTAAAAAATTGCCTGGACGCCCGTTTGTGATTTGTGGAGGAAGATGCTCCTGCCTCTATCTTTCCACAGTAATTTTTAAAAATACGATTTAGAGCGCTCCTCAAGCCACTTATCGACGCACTTGCAGGCGTTATTTTTGAGTTATTGAACTTAAATTGATCTCCTTTCATGCGTCTCCCCGTTCCGTGGGATTTTAAGTCTTCACCTTCTCTCTCAACCAGGCCGCGGGCACCTGCTTGGCCACGGTGAGGACAGGTTCCCGGGCCAGGTGGGTCTAGGGGCCTGATCCTGCCTTGTTTCCTGCTTGGACGGCCTGCACAAAATAGATCCCCCGGCGCCGGCCTTTGCCAGACCTTGTTAACTTTCCTAACGGTGGCATTTCGAAATAAAAGTTTAACTAAAATGGGGTTGGCGCTTAAAAATTAAGGGACAAGGAGCTCCCTACTATAACGCTCCCAGTTTGTTCTGGAGGCATTTGGTGGAGAGAATAACATAACCATCCGCTGATTAAATAACAAAGGCTGATATTCGCAGGCAGCCGGAACGCGGAGCAAAAACCAAACAAACCGACAGCCAACAAACAGGATAAAGAGACCGGGAGCGTTTGCTCTTGTCTTGCGTTTGGTAAGAAAACCGACTGGTGTATTTACCTGAGCAAATCAAGCGTTTCCATAATAGCGCATTTTCTTTTTTTAAAAAAAAATCCGATACAAAAATATATAGTCCTGCGGAATTATTTCTATAAGCTTGTCACGTGCGCGTGGTCACTGTATTTAGATTTTTGTAGAATCCCACAGCCTTTCTAGCCGCGCGTTTTGAGAAATTGACTATTAACCAGTTGCTGGGTTTTTGTTTTTTTTAAAAAATGAGCGTTATTAAATTTTATTTCGGACAGGAGGTATTTTGTTAAAGACACGGGCGCTGGTCCGGCGAACAATTAAAAATAAGCTCTTTTAACCTGCAGGTCAGATTGGAGTCGGCAGGATTGTGTGCCAGAGTGGCTGGTTTAAGGATGCAGTGCGTAAGATACAAGAATCCTGCACCGGGATGTTGGCTCCCGCTCCTCCTCAGGAAAGCATTGTTCCCTGCCATGTACTCCTTATTTCCAACCCCCATCAGATACTAATATCGTGCCAATTTAAAGCATCCCTCTCCTGCTTTCTTTCCGATGGAGGGGATAACACTCAGAGGGGCTGGTCTGGGCCTAAGGCCCCCTCCCAATAGGCACTTGGACATTTGTTGCAAGGCGGTTGCTGGTGAAAAACAGACGGCCCAGAGGAAAGGGTTAAGCCTCGAAGCTGCCCTCCGGCTTTAGGCAGCTCCTAACCAATCCCTAGTCCTCAAAGTTTGAGAGGAGGGGGCGGAAGGGAGCCAATCGCTTCCCAGCAACTCATCCGCGCGAGGCTTGCCGGGGGGCGCCGCTTATTTCCTAGCCGGGATCCTCTGGGTACAGACCGGCGCGCCAGACGCGTCAGCCTGCAATCTTGCGGGCAGATCGCGCTGCAGCCAAGAGCGCGCCGGTCAAAGCGGCATCCAGAGATCGTGTGGGATTGCGAGCTCCTTTTGGGCTGTGCCTGGTGCTTGGCTCGCGCGTGAAGGAGCGAGAGACAGAGAACTGGCGTCGGGGAAAGCTCAAGGCAGCTGCAATCTCCGCTCCGCTTAGCTGCTGCTGAGCCAGTCATCAGATCCCGTTGCGCGCAGGCGGTGGAAGGGAAAAGGCGCCCTGAACGTCGCCCAGCAACCTCGCGCGCTCTCTAGGACGCACCGGTGCCCCTCGCCCGCCCTTCCCATCTCTCGCGCTCCGTCTCCCTCGACCTCTCCAGAAAGGAAGGGCCGCTTCCCGGAGGGCAGAGCAGGGGGCGCCGCTGATCTCTGCGCCTGCGGAGGGAAGGAGCTGCAAGGGGCGGAGTGGTTGCCTGGTCGACGAGAGCAAGAAGCGCAGCCGCGGAGGAGGAGGAGCGTCGAGGAAGAGGCGGGCAAGCCCGGAGCCCGTCTGCCAGCGGGACTCCAGCTCTGCCTCGAAGGCGCGCACAGGCGAGACCCTTGTGCGTGAGGATGCGGCGGGCGAGCGGCGGGCCGAGGCCGTAGTGGCTGTCCCGGGACTGCCATCGAGGCTGCGCTCCCTGGCTTGCGCACCCGCCCGCCTTCCCGCCGCGCGCCTGGGCCCTCTTAGCGCGCCATGAACGGCTACGGCTCGCCCTACTTATACATGGGCGGCCCGGTAGCGCCTCCGGCGAGGGCGCCCCTGCAGCGGACGCCCAAATGCGCGCGCTGCCGCAACCACGGCGTGCTGTCGTGGCTGAAGGGCCACAAGCGCTACTGCCGCTTCAAGGACTGCACGTGCGAGAAGTGCATCCTCATCATCGAGCGGCAGCGCGTCATGGCCGCGCAAGTGGCGCTGCGCAGGCAGCAGGCCAACGAGAGCCTGGAGAGCCTCATACCCGACGCCCTGCGCGCCCTGCCCGCCGCTGCCGCCGCCGCGCCCGGCTCGGCCGGGGCCACGACCACGGGGCACCCCGGAGTAGGAGCAGCAGCAGGAGCCGCTGCAGCCGCCGTCGCCCCCTCGGAGGGACCCCCAGGCACACCGCATCGCCCACCGATGGAGCTGGCCGCCGCAGCCCTCCGCTGGGCTTCGGAGCAGCCCGCCGCCGTCCAGCCGCCGCAGCTCCCCAAAGCAGGTAAGTGGGAGTGCGGGGGGGGCGGGGGGGTCAAGGCGCCCAGAGGCAACCAGTGGCGCATCGGGCCCCACAAGCAGCAGGGAGAGGGGCTTCAACTAGGCTGCTTTGACTTCGTCTGGATTATAAGGGGTTCATCGGCTTCCGGGGCGCAGGCGGCCGAACCACATCTCAGCCCCGGAACTTGGGGAGGCGGCGGGGCCCGGAATTTACTCTAAGGAAGCAGGCAGTTCCCGCAGACATAGACGGGGGACACGGTGGTGAGGACGGAGGCTCTTTCCGAGGTGGAGCTGTAGGCAGCCGTGGTAACTTCGCTGAAATAAAAAACAAATCCGGTTGAAATCTAGTGGAGACTTAGTTGCAAGTCGCTCTCCGGCTTAAACTGCATGCCTACGGCGTCGGGGCCCGATCCCTAGGCAAAGGCAAAAGGGGTATTGTAATGAATCGGGAGTTTCCCGCGCGCCCAAGTGGGCTCACGCAGGGACACAGCTTTCCCCGGGCCGTGGAAAACTTCGTGGGGAGGTTTCTCTCTGGTGTGCGGCGGCCTCTTCTGCCGTCGGTAACGAAAGGGGAAGAGCAAAGCGGGGGCGGGGGAAGGTCTCCATTGGGAAGTGGGTGCTGCGCTGGGGAGGAAACGCATCTTCTCCCGCCTCCTACTTGGGAGGTAACTAGAATCACCGGCATGGGGAGCCTTTGGTCCCCCGACGGCTTTCCTTGGCGGGGCGGCGTGTCCCGTTGTCCGGGGAGCGAAGGAGACTCTGAGCTTGCCAAGAGTGCTCGCCTGCACTCCAAGAAGCGCAGTGAGGACAGGCGGAGGTGGGGCAGGCCCTTCACTTCCCAACCGGGACCGTATTTTGGGATGGAAGCTGCTGTGCGCGAGGCCGAGGACAGGAGGGGAAGGGACCCGCGGACGCTCCTCTTTCCCAAGGGCGCCATTTCTTTTCGGGACAACAAGGAGGAGGCTGAGAGACAACCACCCCCGAAGGGCCGTCTGTGAGCTTTTCTTAAGGAAAGAAGCGATATCCCCACGCAGTACAACATTGCGCGTGTTTACTCAGCCCTGTTGGGTCCAGTGATGCTTACTCCCAGGTCACCAAGCATGGGGCGCCTCAGCCCCCTTGCCGTCGAGGGACGCTGAAGGAGCCGGACAGCACCTCCACAGCGATTCTTCCTCCGTGAATAAAGGTGTGATCAGGTCTCCTTCACCTGCAGGACCCGGGGACATCTTCCTCCGGCCATTTGGAACCTGATATTTCAGAATATTTCGATTCCATCACCCCCCCCCCCCGCCACGACGTCTCTCAGAGACCTCGGTATGGTTTGTAACAGATCCGCGGTACAGATGAGGTGTCCCTATCCGTCCAGGGTGAACTCTAAACTCACCGACTGGGCAGTAAGTCTTCGTGAGCTCTGTGGGGCTTCGGCTTCGAATAACAACTCGCGGGATCTGCTCGATCCTGTCGCTATCTTGACTGCCAGAGGCTGACCGTCCCTTTGCTCTGCGCGCTCCGCCCTGTGAAGCGGAATCCCGGGGGGCCTACCCCAAGGTGACTGGAGTCAAGGATCCAGGGGATCCATAAATACTGAGCCAGGGATAGGGACCTTCTAGCCCAGGGAGCCCATCCGTAACTTTGCTGGTCCTCGGGGGCCAAGTAGCTGCTGTTCGCGGGTTCGTTTAATAAATAAAACCAGCCCGACCCCCTCTCGGTCCAGTCTGCTTCTTCCCAGTGCTTAACAGTAATTCCCAATTGGTGGTCCGTGAGCCCCGGCGAGTCCGCATAACCCACCCAGGGGGGGACATGGTGCGAGTCACGTAACAAAAACTACCATAGAAGAAATATCACACTTTTCAAAAGTAGGGACTCCATGACTTGGCTTTGGAAAAACAGGCTGACCGCAGCACTTAGTCGGAAACTACCGGCGAAAAGATGCTGTTTTGGGGTGGACAGGAAAAGACTGCAATTTACATTCCTGTCGATCCAGGGAATTTAATAGTTGGCAGAAGTGGGGGAAATATCAAAGAGCGTCACCAGAGACACTGTGAAATGCGGGTTAGTGATCGTTCGAAGCCATTATTTTAGCGTGAGAAACGGACGGTTATCTTGTTTGGCTGTAGTGTCCTGAGCTGCTGTGCTCTGGAAGAAGAAGAGCCCGTGTAATGTAAGCAGGTTGGGCCCTTAAAACGGATCCTGAGTAAGAAAGGCCCCTGGGACCTCGCCTTGCCCTCTTGGAAGGTCCGTCGAGCTTTCTGAGTGGTCGTATTCAGGATTGCACTGTACTTAAGCCGGCGTCGTGCCGTCCCTGAGACTGTGCAGGCGCTGGGAAGTTCAATGTTGCGCAGATTCAGCGCGCCTAACTGCACAAGGCTCGGACTGTAAGCAACAGGGACTTACTGCCCAATTCTATCCACATTTACTTGGTGAGTAGGCCTTTCTCCCTGGTAAGCATGCATAGGATCGCAGGGCAAGCTTTGTTGCAGATAATGCAAAGACCTGGGGAGCCAGGTGTGCGCTTAGAATCAAAATGTGTGTCTGTCCTGTTTATGGATAGCAGCCCGATCAGGCTTTTACTCACCGCCAGATTTGTCTGCTGCAGAAACTTGGTGGAAACAGGAAAGATTCAGGCCACAAGTCCCCGACCTGTGTCAAATCGGCGAGGAGACTGCGACGAATAGAGAGTCCTAAAAATATACAACATCCTGGTGAAATTGGAGATCCGTCGGCGCTCAGGGCCCGGCTGATTCGGCTGTAGCAGCAGCAGTCCTGCGGCGCTGCAATAAAGGTTGTAACGAGCTAATAAGGGTAGCAGGGGAAATCCCCTCAGGACCTCACAGCTCCCTGGGAGAGGATTTATGGGGTTTACCTGCCATCTCGGCAGCTGTTTCTGCGCGGAACCTGCGCCATCACTTCTGCGGGCCATTCTAGGAAATTCAGAGAGACTCACAAGCAGCCCTGGTCGTTTCCATCAGGAAACGACTATCGCCCTGTTTTCCTTTTGTCAAATGTGATTTTGCTGTGCGCTCGCGGGTGTGTGGAGAGAGCCGGCTCCCCGCAAGATCAAGGCCCCTCTCGCGACTTTTATCAGGTTTCAAAGTACTCTGCTAGCTTGCAGGGGACTTAGTAGAAATAACCTTTGCTGCTTAATTGGAAAATGAAAGAGGAGGCGGGGAAACAAGGCGGGGGAGAGAGTGTATAAACCCCGGAGTATATTCGTTGTAGACAGTTTCCTTCTTGGTGACGTCCTGTGTCTCCAAACTCTCACTCACCTTCATAATTATAAATTAAACGTTTAACCCTCCTGAACTTTATTTCTTTAAATAACACTATCTGGTGCATTTCCAGGGCAGCTAACAGCTTACCATCACCCCCCACTAACCAATGCAACAGTCATAACAAAACAATTACAATTATTTTAAATAACCAAACATTTAAAACTTCGCAGAATCCGGATTACAGAACAAGGCTAATAAAAAGCTCGCTTAAGCAGAATCGTCTTCCCTCGACAGTGGGAAGAGCGAGTCTCTCCCGTAGCAAGGAGTCCTACTCTTGAGGTGTCGGCACGAAAAAGGCCCTCTTGGGCATCTAGACCAAAACGCTTAAGGCTTGGAGAGGATAACCAGTTCCGAAGAGCGCCAGGCAGGGTTGACAAACGGCGGGAGCGCTTCTGAAATAGGCTTCGTACGCGCTCAGCACCGTGTTCTGCTGGCTATCATACCTGCTGCATTCTGGGCCGACTGGAATTGTTGTAAAACTGTCAATTTAGTTTTGTTCCCCGCCAAAAAAAAAATAGGTAACTAAACTCTTTCCTCTCTTAGCCCATCAAACAATTAGGAGGCTGCTAATGTGCGTTTATTTTTTATGTGAGAAGGGATAGGAAGTGGAAAAAATAAAAATTGTATCAACAGTATCCTCTACTCGGGAGAGGCCTATTAAACTTGCTGGGTCTGACTTCCGAGTAAACATGCAGAGGAACAGGATGCGCAGTGGCTCTGAGCTCCAGGTGCGGGGATTTAAAATATACCGGTAACCGTGCTGATTTCGCATGAAGATCAGTGGGTGGCATCTAACGCTAGTCTTGCTCAGAGAAGAACCCCTGAAGACCATGGACTTCTCCGGAGTTCCGTTGCACTTGGAAGCAAAGGTTTGAGGCGCACCGCTGGATCTTGCCCTGCGCTTTGGATGTTCCTCGTTTAAGTCAACTTATAGTATACCTCGATCCCCAACGACGCCCGTTGAGTGGGAAACGAGCGCTTTTTGAAGTGGGCCTGATCCGGAACTGGCTTCGAGGTGGCGGATCTCGGAGCCTCCCTGCTCCTTTTAGGCCTGGCGACCTTAAACTCAGACGTTCCTCGGTTTCCAAGTCTCTTTCGAAATGAAGCGAGTTTACTTTCGTGTAACAACAGTTCAGGAGTGCGCTGCGTCGCGTTCCTTCAAGGTTAGACGTTGGTGAGTGCGTGTGCGGAGTTAGCACACGGAATGCTGGTTTTTGTACAACTGCCGTGACGCTTTCGTGGCGGATTGTGTCAGGAAACTTTTGGGGATTTTTCCTTCTCTCATTGAACCTGGCGGCGACTCTTTCTCCGAAAAGAGAGACTCGCAGCGCACCAGCCCCTTGGGAACAAACCCCTTTCCTCGAAGGAGCGCGGAAGGGGCTGCGGACACAGCGGGACGGTCTCCCAGCTCGACCCCTTCGTCGAAGGCTTTCCGCCCCGACTTTGGGTACCTGCGCGCATTTTGGCCTCTGGAAAGCGTGGCTGGGATGGGATACATACCATATAAAGAAAAGTGTGGCGTGCCCTCTCCACCCCATACAAACACCGGGTCGTCTTAGGCGAGGCTGCTTCTGTGCATAAGAGAGGGAGAGGTTTCAGAACTCGAACACAACCCTGGAGCCGTCGACCTTGCTCCGAGGGGGCCTGGACTGCGGCGCTGCGTAAAGGCGCTTAGATTAGGAAGGGCGAAGCAGGCGAAGGGGAAGCTGGGGCCCAGGCTCCTTATTATTCG